CCACAGATTTTAAATTTCACTTTGGTGAAGTTTCCCTTCTGTATGTAACAGAGTTGATGCAATCCACCGTAAAAGTGACAAAAACAGACAGTTATTTAATTGCAGTGATTCATTTTACCTATACTGTATGTAGAAAATGTTGCATTGATTTACATACAGAAGAGAAGGGAAGCTTCACCAAAGTGGAACATAAATCTGTGGATCTGTGTTTGATTACTCTGCCTGGCTTTCTCAAGGACCAGGATGTGACACAAAAATCTGAATTATGGAACTGAAAGTGAAAATAGTCAAACTGAATTTTTAATAAACCAAAATACAGTTTCAAAGCAAATTAATTCAGATACAAAACTTTAAATTCAGTTTCAGTTTAATGAAATTTATTTTCAAACCAATGCATTCAGATTGAATCTGAGCAATTCAAATTCAGTTCCTGCTGGCACAAGATCGATCCCACAGAAAAAGATCTGTTGTTTCACACAGATCCTGTGTGTCTGTGAATGACAGGACAAGTTGCATGTTTGTTTGTGTAACAAATAAATAAATATCTGCAGATATTAGTCTGTCCGCTGCAAGAAACATCTGATGTACTGTTGTTCTAACTTTTAATCCTTTTTTTACACAGCTTAAGAAATGTTCAATGGAGAGTTAAAATCTTTGGAAGTGGGGTTCCGTGGAGAGGTCCTGAACAGTCAGTATCTCACCTGTTGTAGATAGCTCTTTGGGCAGCGGACTGACGAGCTAATGGCTAGTGTGAGTGTGATCTGCTGTCTCACACTACCTGATGAGACACTCCTTTTAGGCGTAGACCTGCTCTAACCAGCCATCAGCTCATCAATCTGGTCAGAAATACTCCTTTTCCCACCATCTACAACAGGTAAGATATTAACTGTTGACAACCTTTCCAAAAAGAAAAAAACCTACTTTAAAAGATGTGAACTGTGTGTTTAAGACACGTTAATGTGAACGTAGAATTAGAGAATGTGAGAACATCAGGATCAAACATCTTTGCTGAGTTTGAAGCACGTGGAACAAACCAGACCTGCTTTGCCTTTAAAAACATAAATAAATAAATAAATAAGAAGTTGTGTCGTTCTGCACACTGCTGCCTTTGTGTTTTCAGATTGCAACAAAAACCCAAAAGACAGAGTGATGTGTGTTTATCTTCACCGCTTCACTTAAACACACAAATATGTTTTAATGTTGTGAACTTTTATATGAAGAAGTGGATGTTTCAGATTGTGTGATTGTTGTTTACACATAAATCTAAAGGATTAGTGAAATGAATCGTTGTCAAACTGAAGAACAACAAAACTTGTTTTTGACTTTTTGACTGTCGACTGTAGAACTGATGAAGTTCTGTGATGTTCTGTTTGTGGAATAAAAGAACCTTGATGATGGGTCTGTGTGTGTGTGTGTGTGTGTGTGTGTGTGTGTGT